TTTCATCCATTGTTAAAATTGATGGATCGGAGAACAATTTGCAAGGGGGTATTCCCAATAGTATTGGGAAACTGACAACATTAAACTTCTTCGCCCTTGGTTTAAATAATCTGAGTGGTACAATCCCTCCCTCCCTATACAATATGTCTTCTCTCATCCATTTCTCTCTGCCGTTTAACGAATTTCATGATAAACTTCCTCCAAACTTGGGCCTAACTCTGCCAAATCTCGAATTTCTTGACATTAACACCAATCGATTAAGTGGACCAATCCCAGCAACACTCTTAAATGCCTCAAAAATTACTCACATTCATCTTTCATCCAACCAATTCTCTGGAAAAGTACCCATTTTAGCAAGCACGCCTAATCTAAGGGTGCTTTTAATCCAGGAAAATGATCTTGGAAATAATGAGGATGATGATTTGTCCTTTCTCCACACCCTCTCAAACAGCAGCAAGTTGGAAGCTTTGGCTTTAAATGACAATAATTTTGGAGGGGTGCTGCCTGATATCATTAGCAACTTTTCAACAAAGCTCAAGATGGTGACATTTGGAGGCAATCAAATCCGTGGAAGCATTCCTGACGGCATTGGAAATCTCATAGGTTTGGATACTTTGGGTTTAGAGGCAAACCAATTGACTGGCAGTATACCAAGTTCCATTGGTAAATTACAACATTTAGGTGATTTGTTTCTTAATAAAAACAAATTATCAGGGAGGATCCCTTCTTCTTTAGGGAACATCACCTCATTGATGCAAATTGTTTTTGACCAAAATAATTTACAGGGAAGCATCCCGCCAACTCTTGGAAACTGCCGGAACTTGTTGGTTTTGGCTCTCGCCCAAAACAATCTGAGTGGTCCCATACCAAAAGAGGTCCTTGGCATTTCCTCCTTGTCAACGTTTTTGGTCCTCTCTGGCAATCAGCTGACTGGCTCCCTTCCCTTTGAAGTGGGTAAGTTAGTGAATCTGGGATACCTTGACATCTCCAAAAACATGCTATCGGGGGAAATTCCCGCAAGTCTTGGCAGTTGCGAGAGTTTGGAGCATTTGAATTTGGGTGGGAACTTCTTCCAAGGCCCCATTTCGGAGTCTTTGAGGCACTTGAGAGCACTTCAAGATTTTAATCTCTCTTACAACAACTTGACTGGCCAAATTCCCAAGTATTTGGGAGACTTCATGTTGTTAAAGAGTTTGGATCTGTCATTTAATGACCTTGAAAGTGAGGTGCCTATGCATGGTGTCTTTCAGAATGCAAGTGCTGTTTCAATTTCAGGGAACAAGAAACTTTGTGGAGGAATACTACAGTTCAACTTGTCGACATGCAGATCCAAGTCAACAAAGCCGAAATCTTCGACCAGGCTCATATTGATAGTCACAATTCCTTGTTGCTTTACTGGATTAATCTTGATGACTTGTTTTTTGTTTTTGTGTCGTTGCAAAGAGAAAAAACCAAGCCCATTTCGGAGTTGTCATGTGAGACGCCATTCCGAATGGTAGCCTATAAAGATCTTTTTCAAGCAACTAATGGATTCTCTTCTGACAATTTAATTGGTGCCGGTGGTTTTGGATCAGTGTATAAAGGAGTTCTCGAATGGGATGGTAAGATTGTTGCCGTGAAAGTATTCGACTTGTTACGTAAAGGAGCTTCCAAAAGCTTTAAGACAGAATGTGCAACCTTGTTAAACATCAGGCACCGAAATCTTGTCAAAGTTTTAAGTGCCTTCGCTGGCGTCGATTTTCAAGGTAATGATTTTAAAGCTCTTGTTTATGAGTTGATGATAAATGGAAGTCTAGAAGAGTGGTTGCATCCGATCCATACATCAGAGCAAGAAGTGAACAAGCCAACAAATCTTAATCTCCTTCAGAGGTTAAACATGGCGATTGATGTGGCTAACGCACTTGACTATTTGCACAACAATTGCGAAACGCCTATTGCTCACTGCGATCTTAAGCCTAGTAATGTTCTTCTCGACGAAGATATGACTGCTCATGTTGGAGACTTTGGATTAATTAAGTTCCTTTCTGAAGCCCCGGATCAGTTATCATTGAATCAGACATGCTCTGTTGAATTAAAAGGCACCATCGGCTATGCAGCTCCAGGTAACACACAACACTGAGAGGATATATATTCCATTATTTACAATTTTGTTTTCGATTAATAAACCCTGCAAACAAACTGCAGAGTATGGCATGGGAAGCAAGGTTTCAACTTATGGGGACGTGTACAGCTATGGCATCCTACTGTTGGAGATGATTACAGGAAAGAGACCTACCGATAGCATGTTTATAGATGGAATAGAACTTCACAATTATGTTAAAATGGCATTGCCTGACCGAGTGGTAGAAGTTGCGGATCCGATACTTTTGAGCAAAGTAGATCAAGGAACAAGTGCTGATCAAATCCTGCAGTGTTTGATTTCAATTGGTGAAGTAGGAGTTTTTTGTTCTGAAAAGCTTCCAAGAGAGAGGATGGACATTAGAAATGTTGTAGCTAAATTAAATCTAACTAGGGCCAATTTCCTTACCGGAAGGTAAAGCCCCTCCACTATACCATTATTATATTATTATTATATTATACATTTAGTTAATTTTTAATCTTTTTGTATTGCATGTAGCAGTGATTGGGTTATCTATTTTCTTTTTTCTTTTTTCCTGAGATGTCAAGGAAAATGGCTTATTTAGGAAAATGACTTATGTACGATGTGGCTAATTAACCAAGTCATCCTTTATCGTCTTACACATGTTCTCCATTTTGACATTTGCAAGGTTATAATAGCTGTTGTAGTAGCAAAATTTGCCAAATCAAACTTTAGAAATCACCAATTCCATTTATGGATCACCCAAATGAAATAAGGAACTTTTTTAAGGAACTTTCTTTTTTATTTGAAACTTTTTATTGTATTTTCATTTTTATTTTGATCATTGAAGTTTTATTATGTTTGATTTTTTCTCTTTTTATACTAAAATTAAATATAGTTTCAATATCCTAAGTCTTTTTTGGTTTTTAGTAAAACTTTTCTTTCTATTTTAGTTCCTCTTTTGTGATCTTTTTTTTTATCATTAAAGTTTTATCATGTTGGATTTTTATTTCTGCTTTATGCATATGGGTTTTTTTAGTCTTATTATTCATAAGTTTTTTTTTACTTTTAGTGAAAGTTTTTTTTTATATTTATTTTATGGGTTTTTTTTTATCATTTAAGCTTTGTCATGTTAATTTTTATTCTTATTTTTACCAAATAGGTTTTGAAAAATTTCAATTTTATTCTGATTTGACAAAACTTTTTTTTTTTTTTAGTGATCTCTCTCTATCTAATTAACAAAACTACATACGAAAAACATATGGTAGAAATAAATCATCCAAAATTAAAAAAAATTAAAATTGAAACATCATTATTTTAATTATCGGTTATTATACATATTTATAATAAAATATATGTTTATATCAAACAACATCTAATTAGCATCATTATATTAGTTAATTTCGAAAACTTTTCATTTAGCTAACTCTATAGCAATACAAAAAATATATATTTTGATTCTATTATTTTTTAAATTTTTTTTACATTATCTTTTTAAATAATTATTTTAAATCTATATTTTATACGGATAGACAAATAAAAATATTTTATAACTCACCTCAGAGCAATGTGCGTGTTGGCTGAATTGGTATTTTTTTTGACTAACCACTCACAATGAATGATGATAAAGCAGCAAATCAAAGTCACACTTTAAGATCTAGGAGTGCTGGTGCATGTTTGTGCAGATAGGTATCACAAAAGAATAGCCTTTTTTTTTTTTTTTTTTTTAAGTCTATGTGCCTGCTTTGTTCAACCACTTTTATAAGTATAATGGAAGTGAGAACTTGTAATGCAATTCAATACGCCTGTCCAGTATAATTAATTACTGAGTTCATCTTGTCTTTAACGTTAACCACTTGCAGATGCAATATTCTAAGTCCATAAAGACCGTCTCGGGGATACCAAAAAATAAAGGAAGCTGTAAAGCTGAAAATGTAGAGATATGATAAAATGGTTTCAAACAAGACCAAATGAGCGATCCAGCTGGGCCGTGGAAAAGATAAGAGGTATGATACCCTTGTGATTTTTGTGCCAGGATTTTGAGAAAGTAGAAAAAAGAACTGTCTTGATTTTAACCTACTCGAATCACAAATCCAATCACGGCTCTCAATCCTAATTTTTTAAGTCGTTGCTAGTCATGTCTAATCTCCAGGGAATAAACTAGTAATCATAGTTTTTTTTTTTTTTTTTGAAAGGTGGATGCATGTTACAATCCCTTGTCGTCAACGAGTCAATATTTGACGATGTTTACTTTAATATGATATAAAAAGAATATGACGAAAATGCATTATTTTTTCTCTCTTTCCAATATGGCTAGGCCGCCTTATAAAGGCATATAGTGCTTGGACTGGTTTGATCCAACTAAAGGTTACCTTTTTATTTTTATTTTTATTTCAAAATCAACTCATTAATTAATTATATTCTCATTGAACGTTTATTTCAACCTTTTTCTTTTTTTGTGTAGAAATTCTCATTGAATGTTGATTTCAACCAAAGAAACTACCTTCTTCTTCTTCTTTTTTTGGTGAGTGTGAAACTTCTCAATGAATGTTGATTTCAACGTAAGAAATTATTTCGAGGAAAGTATTTCCTACCAATAACTAATGAATCTCGAAAGTCAAATTAAATGCCTTTACTTACACGTTACCAGATCTACATGTTGTGCTTAACTCTCTCGATCTTTACTTCTGTGTGTTTATATATATCACACCATCTAGCTAACTCTCTCCATCTGTACCACCACCCATCTTGCAGATTAGCAAGCTCTGTACACATATAAACCAAGACATTTTATTCCCTAAAAGTCTCAACCTTTTTTCGAGTAAAAAATGGGTTCTCAAGGAAAGAATCGATACTTAACAATAATACTTCTTGTTACCATTATTTTTCTATCGTGTTCCAACCTAATTTTGATAGCAAGGGCGTCGAGGGGAATTCCATGCAAATATGATCCCCGAGATCCCGGCAAGTGCAAAGTCCATGAACATACAGCTCCAAGATTTCACGCTGGAGGAGCTATGGTGAGGTTTGGCCAAATCACAGGGAGGGTGTTGATCGGTTCTCCATTTGGTAATACATGCAAATATGATCCTGGTACGTGCACAATCGGTAGACCTCCATGATATGACGCAGGAGGAGGGGGAGTGGTTTGACTTAGTCAAATGATGAATGAGAAATCCAGGGAGGTGTTCCCTTATACTTACCAACATCTAGGCTTTACCAATTTTTTTTTTTTTCAGCATACCTCATAATTAATCTATTACCAGACGTGGTTACGAGGCATTTCTCAATTTACGTTTTTAGATATTTTGAAAATAAATTTTTAAAATTATTAGTCTTAAGAATCGAATTCCAAACCTAATCTATAAATTAACGCTTGTTTATTAATGAATTACTATTTTATAGTTTTTATCTCTTGTTATTTATCAATGGTTCGAGGCATTTTAATTATTTATGTGTCCCTTGCTGGTTTGTTCTACTTGTATAATAGAATTATCGGACAAAGTGCTTGAAAAAATGAATGAAATTTCATTTAATGTTAATCTAATCTATAAAATGATGAATTTAAATTCAATTTATAAAATAATAAATTAATTTTGATTGATAATTGATATAAAAAATAATTTACAAATACTTTGCTCTCCTTCGTTCTTTATCTCAAAATTCTCCTGTCTCTCTTCTTTAATGAAGATAGGGGCCAAAATGGACGGCAGATGAACTTTAAAGATTGAATTAAAAAAATTACAATGTAAAACTCGAAATGACTCTCAAAGTCAACGAAATAACAAAAATGCCACACGAATTGAGCTGCTCTTTCGATATAGGCTATGCATTGAAGATGGGTCTATTTCAGCCCAATCCAAAACTAAGTTCAAGTTAGTTGACAGGCTAAAAGTATGTCCATAAGTAAAGATTTCAGGGGAGTTTATCCCTGCTGAAAAAAGAAAAAAAAAAAGAAAAAAAAAAAAAGGTCTGCATATATAAAAACAAATCCATGTTTACAGAAAACAAATCCTTATCTTTAGAACTTTGTTTTAGTCTAATCACTCAAGTTACGGAAAAAAGTATATAAAATATTTCTATCTTGCCTACGTAATTCAGTTATAAAAAATGAAATAAATTGCTTGAAATATTGATCAAACAAATTCATATACTAGAATATAAATATTAAAATGAACCATCGGCTATGCAGCCCAAGATATCATACCACAGTAGAAGGATATATGTTCTATTTTTACAATTTTGCTAAGCTGGTAGATAAGACTTCAAGATATGATTTATATTATTATCTAATACATCCTCTCAAGTGAAAGCTCTTTGAGCTTGAAACTCGTATAAGCTCACACTATCTTGTGCTTAATTAATTAGAGGAGAAAGTGGGGGTGAGAGGATTTGAACTAGCGATCGTTTAGTCATCAAGGTTTTGATATCATATAAAATTAGATAGTTGAAATTGAATTTCATCTAAAAGACTTAAGCTTTGCGGTAGGTGACATCTTCTCAACTTTATATATTATTCATTATTGGTTTAATTATTCAATGTGGGATATGTGTTCTAACACTCTCATTTACTTGCAACCTATCTTTTGGGGTTTGTCAATTGATTTAGGCTTCAAAATCTTTACTTGGGCCGTTGGACCTCTTTGAAGCTTTAATATCATATTAAAGGATCATCTCACCTAAAAGCTAAAGCTGTTAGGTAAGGTCCTAAAATATAATTTATATTATACTCTAACACTATAAACAGCATGGTTAAAGATGGAATAGAACTTCACAGTTGTGTTAACATGGCGTTGCCTGACCGTGTGGTAGAGAAGTTGTGGATCCGATACTTTTAAGACAAATTGATAAGGGAACAAGTGCTGATCAAATCCTGCAGTGTTTGATTTCAATTTGTGAGGTAGAAGTTTTTTGTTCTGAAAAGTTTCCAAGAGAGAGGATGGACATTAGCAATATTGTAGCTGAATTTAATCTAATTAGGGCCAATTTCCTTAGAACGCATGGACAACTAACGTGAAATGGACAACTAACGTGAAATCATTTTCTTACCAGAAGGTAAAGCCTTTCCACTATAGCATTATTCAGACTACAAACAGTTAATATAAAACTATTTGAGGAGCTTAAGGTATTGGCCTGAACAGGTTCTTCGACAAACTACTCACGATGTTATGTACTACAGGTGAGCGAGGTGATTAGAGCTGAAAATCAAAGTTGCAGTTTAAGATTTAGGCGTGCTGGTGAATGTTTGTGCCCATAGCTATCAGAAAAAAATTGCTTTGTTCAAGTACTTCTATGGGTGTAATGGAAGTGATAGTTTGCAATGTAATTTATTACTCCTTTCTCACACTTGTGCCACACAGCTTTTTACTTATTTTAGTTTTTAATGCACACAGCACATGAGCACTAAGCTATTTCTACAATTCACCACTCATTTTTGAGAAGTTAGGAATGGGAGAAGGAGCTCTCTATTTATATTAGTTGGGTAGCATGTGGGACAAAAGAAAGATTAGTACAAATGTGACTTAGGGAAAAAAATTCGTCCTCTTTGTTGGATTTAGAGACCAAACTCATCCCCTTGAGCCTGAAATGGTGACTAACTTTACCCCTCAATTGAGGAAATAAACGAATTTCATCTCCGAGAGCTTCATATCCCAGTAGTTAGGAGCTCAAATCCTGCCATTCTGGTTCTCTCAAATTAAATTAAAAATCAAATACAAGATAGTCGTTGGACACCTTATCCTCTCTACTTAAATTTGAAATTAAACATAAGCTAATGGTGCATGGATCATGATTCTTACGCTTTTGGATTGATATAATTGTTTGACAAGAAGTTGCTGATTTATAACATGGTTACTTGATTATCCGTAATTCATGGCTTTATCCTACATAATCACCAAATAAGTTTGGAGTAACTAAAATTTGAATTTTATTTCATTAAAAATAACAACCGCTAGACCAAATTTGTTTGCAATTCGAAAACTATTTTGTCCACCTTTTGTTCTCATCTTGTATTTGAGGTGCTCTTAAAGTCTGCATTACTCTATTGGATTACAAAAAAAAGAATAATAATAATAATAATAATAAAACACAATATTTTACTAGGTCCACGCTGTGTCTTTTGTTTTTTGATTGTTGTCCTATGGATTTAACTTATCTGAAGTTAGTAATAAGATAATATATCATGTGTGTGAAATTCAAATTAGTAGTTGGGAATTTTGGTGAGAATATTTATTCTCCATTTTCTTTGACAGGGTCTTTTTTATTGTTATATATATACACAGGAAAAAAAAACACTATCAGTGACTTCTGAATTCTGAAAAACACAATATATATTTCACGGGTCAAAATGCCTTCACTATCACGTTTTCAGAACTTGAGGGGAACCCTGAAATAGTCCAATTAATTGACTAAACTAGAGTTACGATTGAGCAAAGACTTAAAGGAAGATAAGAAGATAATATGGAATAGGATCCTTCATGTTTCAAATTTCAACTTAACGTTAGCAATTTGCAGATGCAATATTAATTCTAAGTTGATAAAGACCGTCTCATCGGGGAGTTGGCCGGAATATGACGAAAATGCATTATTTTATCACTATTTCCAAAATAGCTTGGCCTTTATAAAGGCATAGACGTGCCTGGATTGGCTTGAACCGAGTCAAGGTTACTTTTTCTTTCTGTTCTGTATTGTTATTATTATTATTATTATTTTGAGAAGTCAAGATCAACTCATTAATTAATCATACGTAGAAAGAGTCATAATTTCCCAATGACTAACTTGCCTTATCTTCCATTAATTTCTTTTTTGTTATTTCCCACGTACGTTACCTTCAAGTCAAAGGAACCATTTTCTATAGTTTTTTTTTTTGTTTTTTTTGCCTAAATCATTGCCATTGGCATTCAAGTCTAGGAGTTGGTTGATGGCGGTAACAAATTCAGTCATGGCACGTAGAAAATAACCATGAGAGATTGACTTCTTTTTTTTTTTTTTTTTTTTGAGATTCTCATTGAATTTTGATTTCAACTTAAGAAACTATTTAGAAGGAAGTATTTATTAGAGATTATTATAAATTATATTTATAATCTTTTTAAGTTTTTAAATGAAATCATCATTTAATATTGTATTAGAGCTTAGTTTAGTAAGAGATCTTAAATTCAAGTCTCATCATCCTTAAACTTATGTAAGTTTTTTATAAATTATATTTTGAGATCTCACCTGTCGACCTAAGTTTTTAGGTAAGTGGTCATTTAATAGTATTTCCTATCAGTAACTAATGAATCTCTAAATTCAAATTAAATGCCTTTAATTACATGTTACGAAATCAACATATTGTGCCTCATATAACATATGTCATTTTTACTTCTGCATATATATATCACACCATCTAGCTGACTCTTTCCATCTTTACCACCAGTACTCATCTTGCAAACTAGCTAGCTCTCTACACATATATACCAAGACATTTTATTCCTTAAAAGTCTCAACTTTTTTTCGAGTAAAAAATGGGTTCACAAGGAAAGAATCGATACTTAACTATAGTACTTCTTGTTACCATTATTTATCTATCAGGTTCCAACCTAGTTTTGATAGCGTGGGGGTCGAGGGAAATTCCATGCAAACATGATCCCCGAGATCCTGGTAAGTGCAAAGTCCGTGAACATACAGCTCCAAGATTTGACGCAGGAGGAGCTAGGGGGAGGTTTGGCCTAATCATAGGGAGGGTGTTGATCAAATTTGAATCTCGTAATCCATGCAAATATGATCCTGGTACGTGCTCAATCCCTAGACCTCCATGATATGACGCAGGAGGAGGAGGAGTGGTTCGATCTAGTCAAATGATGAAGGAGAAATATTTCAGAGAGGTTTTCCCTCATAAATACCAACAAATAGCTGGAATGCATGGCTTTACCCCTAGTTATTTATTAATGGTTCGAGGCATTTTAATTATTTCTATGTCCTTTGCTGGTTTTGGATATTTATTTTGATCATGTTCCTGTTTCAGCATTGTGTGTTCTTTTATGTGTATGTCTGAATATACTGTCCTCCTTAAATACAGGTAGTTCCGCTATATATATATATATATATATAGTCATGGAAAAGTTGAAGATGTTTATAAATTTTTGATAGTAAAAGTATCAGTTTATCTCACATTTAGATTTTATATTTTTTAATTTTTTTTTTATTAATACTCTCAATTTTTTTTTTTTTAACTTGATTGAGATCTTTTATTTTACGAAATTCTTTAGATTCTTCATTATAATATCATTAATGCTTCTTCTACTCTTTAAGATGTTTTATTATAAAATACCACATGTTAATTATTAATTGGTGGAATAATAATGAAGAATCTAAAGTAAAAAATTCTTAAAGAATAAAAAATTTCAATCAAATCAAACAAAAATAGAGGGTTTCAATAATTTTTTTTGAAAAATACAGGATCTTAATATGAATGAAAAACCCATAAAATTTTCACAAGAAAGAAATCGGACGATTTATCATCAAATTTAAATTCTTTAATGATTAATCTATTTTCAAATTTCGTTTGATGGTGAGGGATGCTCTAGAAATTAGTGAATTGAGATTAAATATTATTTCAAACGTACTTAATTTTTTTTTTTCAAATATACATCTAAAAGTCGACCTATGTTAGGGCTAATATATTAACGTACCAAACAGACATGCTACTGAATCGAAACCTCGAGATTTTGATTCAATCATTTTGCTTCTTATTAAATATGTTAATTTCCATTTTTCAATTTCTACGTTTATATATATATGTGTGTGTGTTAATTTCGTGACTTATTCAAGTAGACAAAATTATCACAGACGCGCATGTCCATAAAGTATACCTGTTATCATCATCCATTTTTCCATTCAATATCAAATAAATAATTAATTTCGAGAAATAAGTTATTATAAATTCCACAATGACAAAGCACTTTGTCTCCCAAAAATTTTTTCGTTTTTAAAATAATTTTCAACATGCGTTACAACCAAGTCAGTATCCTTATTAATTATATAATTTTTTCATCACAACCTGGACATAAAATTTTTTTGAATTTCGAAGAATCAAAGGAAGACTCAAATTTATTTAACTATATACCTTAGTTGTAACTCCTAATCTTTAACTAATAAAGTATACCTATCAATCTATCATCATTCCACAATGACTAATTAGCCCTATCTCCCAATAATTTCTTTTTTGTAATTTCTTAAATCAATGACAATTAAATAAAAAAAAGAATGCATTTGGAGAAACATTTTTTCTGCACTATTTTAGTGGGCTCTCTACTTATATTATATAAGTACCGAGTTAGTCATATGAATATGTAATACAAATAACAACAGAAACTAATTAATAAAAATTGTTGAAAAGAATCCGTAAAAGAAGTTAGCCATAAGTATATAGATCAAATTGTCATTCGCCTAACTCTTGAAATTCAATAAAAATATTATAAACATTAAAAAAAAAAAAAAAGAAATTGTAAAGAGGATAAAACCATGTAAACTTAGAATAATATAAATAAAAACATATAGTACTTTTTACCAATATCAGAAGGAGTAGGCGGTGGTTCTCATACATCACTTAAAATTAAATTTAAAATTCCATTACTAGAACGAGTAAATTTAAAATTCCATTACTAGAACGAGTTGAAGAGGACGATGAACCGTCGTATGATTACATGAATTGCACAGTTGACATCGGTTCTTATTGTTCTTCACTGAGACAAATTATGGCCACTCCGTTGACTCAAGTGGGTCGTGGGAGTCATGTATGCAAAAGAAGGAAGAATAGGCTGCGCAAACAGTAAATATTTGTTTAGAAGCTCGGTAAAAGAAACTGGCCTAGATCAGGTCTGAATTTCAACGTAGTGATGATGTCTTTAAAATCTTTAGAAAGTACCCTAAAAATATATAGATTAAAATCCATACGGAGATAATTCTTGAAGTATTTATTCATTTTTTGACTTTATTTGAGTTAAGCAGAAGATTATTTCCAGAGATAATTTCAATTTAACGTTAACCACTTGCAGATGCAATATTCTAAGTTAATAAAGACCGTCTCATCGGTGAGTTGGCCGGAATATGACGAAAATGCATTATTTTATCACTCTTTCCGAAATTGATTGACCTTATAAAGGCGTAGACGTGCCTGGACTGGTTACTTTTGCTTTTCATTCTTTTTATTTATTTATTTACTTTATTTTTTTGAAAAGTCAAGATCAACTCATTAATTAATTATACGTAGAAGGATTTATAATTTCCCAATGACTAAATTGCCATATCTTCCATTAATTTCTTTTTTGTTATTTCCCACGTACGTTACTTTCAAGTCAAAGAAACCATTTTCCATAACTTTTTTTTTCCTAAATCATTGCCATTGGCATTCAAGTCTAGGAGTTGGTTGATGGCGATGACAAATTCAGACAAGGTACGTAGAAAATAACGACGCGATGCTTAATTTTTTTTTTTTCAATTATTTGACTACTAATACAACCTAGACATGATCCACCATAACTTTATTTATTATTTATTTATTTATTTATTTATTTTTTTTGGAGATTCTCGTGGAATGTTGATTTCAACCTAAGAAACTACTTAGAGGAAAGTATTTCCTACCAATGACTAATGAATCTCTGGGTCAAATTAAATGCCCTTGCTTGCATGTTACGAAATCAACATTTTGTGCCTCATATAACATGTGATTTTTACTTTTGTGTATATATATCACACCATCTAGCTGACTCTCTCCATCTTTACCACCACTCATCTTGCAAACTAGCTAGCTCTCTACACGTATATACCAAGACATTTTATTCCTTAAAAGTCTCAACTTTTTTTCGAGTAAAAAATGGGTTCACAAGGAAAGAATCGATACTTAACTATAATACTTCTTGTTACAATTATTTTTCTATCAGGTTCCAACCTAGTTTTGATAGCGAGGGCGTCGAGGGGAATTCCATGCAAATATGATCCCCGAGATCCTGGTAAGTGCAAAGTCGTCTGTGAACCTACAGCTCCAAGATTTGACGCAGGAGGAGCTAGGGTGAGGTCTGGCCTAATCATTGGGAGGGTGTTGATCAGATCTCCAGCTGGCCGTAATGCATGCAAATATAATCCTGGTACGTGCACAATCGGTAGACCTCCATGATATGAAGCAGGAGGAGGGGGAGTGGTTCGATCTAGTCAAATGATGAAGGTGAAATTCAGAGAGGTTTTCCCTTATACTTACCAACAACTATCTGGAAGGTTGGTTTTAGCCCTATGGTTCGCGGCATTTCATTAATTTTTATGTCCTTCGCAGGTTTGAGATATTTTTACTTTGACCATGTTCTTGTTTCAGCATTGTGTGTTCTTTTTGTGAGCATGTATTTATATAGTTTTCAACTTATATTAGATGTAGTTCCGCCCCTCTATATATAATAATCTTTGGAAAAGAAACCACATGAAGCTTGAATCATGGAAAAGTTGAAGATTTTTAAAATGTTTCGTTAGTAAAAATATAAGTTCTCCAACATTTATATCTTCTACTATTTGATTTTTTATTAAAATTCTTTATTTTTTATTTTTATTAATTGAGACTCTAATCTTTGAGATTTCTTGATTTGAACTCTTTATTATAACCGCACTAATCAGAAATCACCACAATACCTCTATTCTTTAAGATTTCTTATCTTATATAATCACTTGTTAATTATTATATTGGTGATATTATAATAGAGAATTGTAAGCAAAAAATCTTAAAAAATAAAAATTTCAATTAGGCTAGAAAAGAATGGAAAATTTCAATAAAAAAATTCAAAATATACGAGGTTTTAATGTTTTTAATGTGAAGAAAACCCATAAAAATATTCACTAAGAAAAAAAAGATGATTTTATCATCGAATTTTGATTCTTTAATGATTGATCTATTTTAAAATTTTGTTTGATTGTGAGGGGTGTTTTAAAAATTTATGAATCGAGATTAAACCTTTTTTTCAAACATTTTTAAAGGCAGAACTCCATTTCTGCATGGTACATCTAAAAATCGACCTATGTTCAAGCCAATACATTAACGTACCAAACAGACATCCTACCGAATCTGACACCTCAAGATTTTGATTCAACCATCTTGCTTCTTATTGAATATGTTAATTTGCATTTTACATTTTCCACAAAAAAAGTAGGTTCATTTCGTGACTTATTCAAATGGACAAAATTGTCATAGACACTCATGTCCATAACGTATACCTATTATCTTCGTTTGTTTATATTCAATATCAAATTGACAATTAATTTCAAGAAAGAAGGTATTATAAATTAACTGATCGGATTACAGAAGGGTCACAGCTAATAATTTAAAAAAAATAAAAAAATTAAATACATAGATTTTATATAGAAAACCCTAAAGCAAATCGGGATAAAAACCATGAATAAAGATAGAAGAACGTTCATTATGAAAACTAATAAGATTTACAAACCTTCCCCCTATTGTACAAAAAATTGAAAAAAAAAAACATTCTTTATATTTAATCGGCTATTGATGAGATGTTTGTGATATTTTTGGGATGGATTGATATGAGATGGGAAGGCCAATTTATAGGCCTCCTATATGCGAATGTTACGCGTATGGATAGCTTGAATCATGTGGATTCAATTTGTTCATCACAATTTTCTTTCCATTGTTTTTTTTTTCTTTTCTTTTCTGCAACTTTGTTTTGTTTCTTTGTTTTTTTTTCGGGGTGGAGCCCACCATGAACCCCACTTACCGACGTTGTTTGACAATCTCCCACTTGAATATTTGATTAAAAGTCAATCAAATCTTCACACAATTCTATCTACCTTGCTATCTCCATGTTGCTTACGTCTCCATCAAGCTGCAAGAGGATCGACAACAAATAAACTTGTCAATATTGATTACGTTTGTCATAAAATTTGATAGATTATCTTTGGTATGAATTTTTTACATATCCACAGTTCCTTCTTTTACTTTCTCACGAATTAAGTGTTATTAAACTCGTATGTATATTGTCTTTGAATGAAAGGCTGGATTCTTTGCAAGATGTAAGACACTTTGACTATTACAAAGCAAAAGAATCTTCTCTTATTTGTACTCGAGTTCCTCCAATACCATTTCCTACCATATTGCTTCTTTATTGGCTTGTGTAAGCTGCTATATATTCTGCTTCTATTGTTGATGTAGCAACAATTGACTATAGTTTTGAAAACTAGCTTACGAGTTCACCTGTAAAGGGTTTGCTTCTATCAAGATCACTTACATAATCTGAATCAACATATCATTTGATAATAAAGTTTGATTCTTCATAACATAATGCAGCATTTGAGGTTCCCTTAGATTATCTTAGGATCCTTTTTATAACATTCCAATGCTCTCTATTAGGATTCACCATTTATCGATTCACTACTCCCACTTGTATGTGTAATGTTTGGTCTTGTACAAATCATAACGAACATTAAACTATTCATAAATCATACAAACATTAAACTACCCATTGTTGATGCATATAATACTTGAGACATCTCTACCCTTTCTTCTTCTCTATTAAAACTCATATTGAAAGATAATGTGAAATTAATAAGAAATAGGGTATAAATTGACTTACAATCTTGCATCTTGAAATGTTATAGGATTTTCTTCAAATAACTCTTTTTTGAAAGCCAAATCTTCCTATTGTTTCTGTCTTGATGAATTTGCATCCCTAGAATCTTGTTTGATGGTCCCAATTCCTCATTTCAAATCCCCTTAACAACTATGCCTTCAATTTTTTAATACAATCTTTGTTGCGGCATACTACCAATATGTCATCTACATTCAACAACATGATAATGAAATCACTTTCACCAAACCTCTTGAAGTATGCACAAGAGTCTATACTAAGTTTTTTATATCTAAGGCTCATGATGAAGGAATCAAATCTCTTGTACTAACACTTCGATATCTATTAGAAACCATATGGAGATTTGTTCAACCTATAAACCAAGTTCTCTTTTCCTTTTTCTTCAAAACCTTCTACTTGTAACATGTAAATTTCTTCTTTAAGATCTCCATAAAGAAAGACTATTTTTACTTCTAACTATTCTAGATGTAAATTAAACATAACACACGATGCTTGGGGCTACTAGGGAAATTATTTCATTGAAGTCAATCCTTTCTTTACGAGCATATCCTTTCACCATCAATCTAGTACGATATCGCTCTACTTGATCATTGGCATTTTGCTTGATCTTATAAACTCATTTATTTTTCATGGGTTTTCTTCCTTATGGTAGTGATACAAGTTCCTAAGTCTTATTCTTATAAAGAGCTTCAACTCTTCCTACAATGCTACCATATATAGAAATGCATTTGAGTTTTTCATTTCTTCTTTGAGAGTTGACGACTCTCTCTCTTCTATTATAAAACCAAGACACAAAAGTGCACTCTCTATAATATAGTCTAAATGCCAATCAAGTTGCCTTTTTATACAATTAAACCGATAGAGTTACGGAGCTTCAAACTCGACTCGCTTCTTATACCTTATGTTTTGGTGCTTCTTTAGAAGAATCCTTTTGTTTAAGTTCTCTTTCCACTTGTACCATTATAGTCTCTAAAGTGTTATCATCTCCTTTCTTTGGTTGTTGATCTTTTATAGATATAACATCTCTGCTGACTATAACCTTATGAATAAAAACAAGCATTTTCCGGATTTTAAATCCAATTTTATTGTTTCTTGGGCATTATACATCACGTACCCTAGACTTTTAAGTGTATGAAACTTTGAATAATCTACTA